CAGTGGTTAGAGTTGCTTACCACCAAGTCTGATCCCAGGAACTAAAAAAAAAAAAAGAACTAAAGCAATTCCACAGGTTGTCTTTTCACACACACACACACACACACACACACACACACACACACACCAGCACTGGCCTCAAACTTTAGGTTTCCTGTGCTTCCTAACTGCTGGGGCTACAGAAATCCCCCAAGATTTAATTTTATTCGTAAAGATGACTGATTGATTGTATAAGTGTGTGTGTGTGTGTGTGTGTGTGTGTGTGTGTGTGTGTGTGTGTGTGTGTAAGGGTGCACATGCCAAGGTGTACACATGGAGATCAGAAGTCAGGTTTTTCTCTTTCCACCGTTTGGGTCCATCAGTTCCAGTTCAGGCCAGCAGGCTTGGTGCTGAGCACTTCTGTCTACTGAGCTATGGCACTGGCCCAGAGACTTTCAAACTTTTAATGAGAACTCTTTTCTTCCCTTGGCATCGGTTGTGAAATTAAAAAAAAAAAATAGTATATAAAACAGTAGTCTGTGAAAAGTACTTGTTTGTGGCGTCTGACTGTAAAAGCTGCTTATTGGGCAGCCCGCGCTGGCAACAAAGGTGGTTCCTGTTGACATTGGGAATTGAAATCTGGGGCAGGGTCTATCAGTTTTTCCATTAAACCTTTTCCTGACCACACCTGGGCCTCACGCATGCAAGGCAAACAGACTTGCTATTCAGACCTACAGCCCAGTCATGCTCTTTGGTTTGCTTGAGACAGCGTCCAGAACTTGCTACACAGTTGAGGATGACTTTGAACTTCTGTCTCTCCTGCCTTAACTTCTCTAGTGCTGATATGACAGGAGCGTGCAAACTTGCCTGGCATTACTTGGTAATTTTAAAATAAAAAACATAGGTTTTATTTGTTTTTGAGACATGGTCTTCCTGCGTAGCTGAGGCTAGCCTCACGCTCAAGCTCCCCCTGCCTTAGCCTCTGCTAAGGGATTAGAAGGCACCAGGCATGCGCATCCATTGTAGACAAAATACTCATACACACAAAATAAAATAAATATATTTTTAGAGACCATATACACCAGCAAGTGAAAAAGATCCAGTGGTGTTCAATTTGGCAGTCTACTGAAACATATCCAAAACAATAAGCATGGCCTCCTGTGCAAAGATGATACAAATTCATGACACATTCCATAATTTTGTATTAATACATATGTGTGTATATAACAATAATAATTAGATTAAAAGATACCATGAATTTGAAAGGGGGCAGGAAGGTGAGGAGGACCACAGGAAGAGTTATAGGGAAGGGTGGAATAATTAAAAAAAGTACTCATATTTGAAATTCTCAAAATAATACATAATTTTTAAATCAGAAGGAAAAAACTTAACAAAATATCTACTTTCAACAATATATAAAAACTTTAAAGGTAAATCCATATCATGGTGAAGTAGGTTCCTTAACCAAATAAGAACATACTAAAGTATTAATGTATGCATCTAATGTTACTATTCCATGTAGTTATTTGAATTTATTAGAAATGTACCATTTTGTTCTTTGGGTATCATTTATTGATAAGGTAGACCTAACCATTTTGATTAAGAATGTTTCAGTCTGAATATGTAAAACTATAAATTCAAGGCACTAATCCTTATGTATAGACATGACTTTTCTTGAAACTGTCAAGTTCAAATAAGAAAGCAAGGCTGGGCACAATGCATGGTACCCCCCCCCCCCCCCCCCCAGGTCGGAAGAGGGTGTCAGATCTCCTGGAACTGGAGTTGCAGATAGTTGCGAATCAACATGTGGGTGCTGGGAACTGAACCCAGGTCCTCTCTGCAAAAACAACAAGTGTGCCATATCTCCAGCCCACACATATGTTGTTATAATGAAATCAACTAAGGTTTTAATTTTTTTTTTTTAATGTGATGCAGAGGATTAAACCTAGGGCCTCACGTGAGCATGCCTGGCAAACCGTCAGTCTACTACTGAGTTCTCAGGTCCTCTTCTGTGTAGCATGAATCTTAAAAGTTCTTATTAATAAAATCAAACCTGGGGCCAGTTATTGGGGTGAAATGCTGGATGGTCAGAGAGACAGAACAAGCCACAGTTACCCCACCTTGCCGGATCCTCGGCTGGTCTTGTTTCCTCAGACTGGAGGCCTCTGAGTCCTCATCCAGAATGGGTCTCAGCTGAATTGCTGCTCAAAAGCCTGAATGCTTAACCAGGCCAAATGCTTCTAGTTTCTGGTCCTCGCACCTTATATACCTTTCTGCGTTCTACCACCACTCGCTTTCTGGGATTAAAGGCGTGTGTGTATCTCGATGCCTGGCCGTTTCCACTGTGGCCTTGAACTCACAGAGATCCAGAGGGATTTCTACCTTTGGGTGCTAGGATTAAAGGTGTGAGTGCCACCATTTTCTATCCTAAGTACCTAGTGCCTGTTCTGTCTCTGACCCCACATAAGTTTATTAGGGTGCACAACATTTGGGGGAACACAATACCACCACACTTCTGACTTTGTGTTTTAAGACAGTTTTTCTAAGTTGCCAGGGCTCTTTTTGAACTCAGTCTGTAGCCTAGGCAGGTGTTGAACATGGAGTTCTCCTGTCTTAGCCTTCTGAGCAGAATTACCATACTCCAACATTAAGCTTGGGTCAACTACCTATTTTTGGATTCACATCCCAGAAATTCTAAGGTTTTGGGAAGACAATTGGCAAATCTTCCCCTCCCCTTCCCTCCCCTCTCTTCTCAGACAGCCCAGGATGGTTTTAAACTCACTATGTACTGTGTAGCAGAATACTATTTGAAGGTGTGTTACTTTTGTTTATGTTGCATTTGTTTAACTCTGTGAAGCTGTGTTACTGTGCCTGTCTAAAACACCTGATGGTCTAATAAAGAGCTGAATGGTCAATAGTGAGACAGGAAAGAGAAATAGGCAGGGCTGGCAGGCAGGGAGAATAAATAGGAGAACTCTGGGAGAAGGGGAGAAAAGGAAGGAGCCAGAGAAGGAGGAGGATTTCAGGGGCCAGCCACCCAGCCACCCAGCTACTCAGTTACACAGCAAGCCATGGAATAAGAGTAAGATTTACAAAAGTAAGAGAATAAGAAAGCCCAGAGGCAAAAGGTTGACGGGACAATCTAAAGTTAAGAAAAGCTGGCTAGATACTAAGCCAAGGTAAGGCTGGCATTCATAATTAAGTACAAGCCTCCCTGTGTTACTTATTTGGGAGCTGGGTGGCAGGGCCCCCCTCAAAAGTAAAGAGTAAAACCAACAAACAACAGTGCTGGACTTGCAATTCTCTTGGCTCTGCAGGAATTACAACATACACCACTACGCCCAGCTTCTCTTCCTTCTGAGACAGGGTCTCAATACTTAACCTGAGGTTCTGCCCCTGAATCCTGAGTGCTGGGCAAGAAGCCACCCAGCATCTGCTGCTCTGTTCATTTTCTTTGACAGTGAGAATCTTGGCTTACGCTAAACGACAATAGAATTATGTTTTATTAAATTGACTACTTATTAAAAAAAATCTATCCTGTTTCACCCCTTCTTTATCAACTGGAGGGAAAATAAGGAAAAGGAAAGGGAGTGGGGGTAGGATTGGGGGCGGGGCAGCAGGCCAGCTCAGGGAGTGGTGCAGTTAACCCATGCACAGAGAAGCCTGATTCTGCGCGATCACTACAGAGCATGGCTGGAGCCATTTCCTGATGGTTTGTGTGACATCTGTAGTGGCTTGACTAAGAAGGGCCCACAGGCTCAAGTATTTAAATGCAGAGAGTGGCACTCGTTGAAAGGATTATAAGGATTAGAGTGTGTGGCCTGTGTTGGAAGAAGTTTCGTATCGCTAGGGGTTATCTGAGGTTTCAAAAGCCCACACCAGGCCCAGGGTCTCTGCTTTCTGATCAGGATGTCGCTCTCAGCTACTCCTCCAGTGCCACTTGCTGCCCTTGCCGTTATCCCTACCATGGTGATAATGGACCCAATCTTTGAACTGTAAGCAAGCTCCCAATTCAACGTTTTCCTTAAAAAAGAGTTGCCTTGGTCATGGTGTCTCTTCACAGCACTAGATCAGTGACTAGAACAGCATTTTAGACACTTTTTTTTCCTTCTAGAATCAGATTTGGTAGTAGAAAATAGGATATCTGGGGGCACTCAGTAGAGAAGGACACACCATTTGCCCCTGTCTTGCTGTCTGTCGTGTCTGGGTCTTCCTTGTCCTCATCTGTTCCATCTGCTGCTGTATTTCTGCTTTGAATTGTTTTCCCAGGCTCCTGTCTGTGCCTCTCTAAGTCCCGAGTCCCCTGAGATCTTCCAGGTAACACCGCTGTGATCTTTCTGTGTACAAATGGCTGAGCTGCTTAGCCATTATCCTGCTTAAGTCTCCCCCTCCTTCCCCTGCCCCTCCTGTCCCATCCCCTCTCCTCTGCTTCCCTGCTTTGAGACACAATCTGGCTATGTAGTAGTGGCTGGCCCGGAATTCCCTATGTAGAGCCAGCTGGAATCGTTCATGTGACAGTCCTGCACCCTGCTTTAAGAGAGGTGGGATTACAGCCATTGGCCACCACGGCACTGCTTTCACATTTAGCACTGGTTCCTTGTGGCCTCACACATCTTTTTGTGTTTTTTTTCAGGTATCCACCAGCCCTCCTCCCATCAGGGTCTTCCCATGTCAACAGCCTACAAAGATGCCCTGTTCCTTGGGAAGCAACAGTGAAGAGAATGGCTGTCTCTGCCCATTGTTCTGGATTAGAACCTTCTTCCGTGGCCTCATGAGGTTCGTGCATTTGGGACTCAGGCTCTCCTGCTGGGAATGAAAACACTCACAATTTAGTATCACAAAACAAAACACATTCTAAGCCCTTAATCCCAGCATCCTAATTACAAGAATGGCCAGTGGCTTTTCCATACTCGTGTGGAAGATCCGTTCTTCATGGCTTCTCACATGTCTGGAGCCAAGGTTGGGATCGCTGAAAGGTAGGTTCAAGCGGCATTGTCAAACAGTGTAACTCCATCTGGCCGCTTCAGCATGGCAGCCTCCTGGTAGATGGACATTTCATTGGCCACTCAGGTGACCAATAGATAGTTTCCAGAAATCAAATAGATGCTGCTTGGCCTTTTGGGACAAAGCTTCAAAAGTCATATAATGTCACTTCCCCTGTCATCTGCTGCTCAAAGTGAGACTTAAGGGAAGGGACATAAGATAGTTCCATGATGTAACACTGCAAATCTTCGACATCCTTCCTGTTTCCATGCTCATTTTCAAAATGGAAGGACCAGGCAGGTGGTGAGATGGCTCAGTGTGTTAAGGCTCTTGCCACCAAGCCTGAAGACCAGAGCTCCATTTCCTGAACTCACATGATGGAAGAATCGAACGGACTCCTGAAAGTTGTCCTCTGACTCCTACATGTATGCTGTGGCTTAGGCCCTTCTTCATACAATATATTCAAATGTAATTTCAAAAGATTAAAAATATGCCCCTACCCGCTCCAAAAAAACAGAACAAAACAAAACAGGAGGACAAAGCCAGGCATAGTGGAAATCCTAGCACCTATGAGGCAGAGGTAGGAGGATCCGGAATTCAAGTCATTCTTCTATCCATAAGAAGTTTAAGGCTAGCCTGGGCTACACAAGACACCATCTCAAAAATGAATACCAAAAGCAAAAGAGGCACCAAACAAACAAAATGCAAGGAGAAATCTGGGCAGGGACACATATACCCATGGTCCCAGAAGTCATGAAGCTTTGGTGGAATTGATTGAAGTTGGAGGCCAGTCAAGAAGAATGAGAAGTTGAAGGTGGCACTACATGTAAAGTCTCTTCCTTTACTACTACATGTAAAGTAAAAGACACTTCCGGTAGGCAGGAAGTGGCCTCTGTGTATTAGCTCCTTGTGTTCTTCATGGACACTGCTTGCTGGCTCTTCAGCTTGAAATTCTTACCTTCCTCACCATCTGAAGAAGATGCAGATGAACTGACGATGCCTCCTTTGGGAAGTTTCTTTCCCTCCTCAGGCTGTGGCAGGCTCCATCCCGTGGGATGGTGTTGGCCTCCATAGCACTTCACAAACATCAGTTTGTGTATTTGTATCCCCTGCTAGTCTGAGGCCTTAGGATAAAGACAGTGAACTTGAGGTCTCTAGTATACATCACAACATCAGGAAACTGGACAACTGCACATGTTTATTCTTGGAAGACAAGGACTCAAGGGTTAGAAAATAGATGAGATGATCCAATGTCCTCATTCATCCAGAATGTTTCCGTTTACACCTGCTGTTGCCACACAATTTAATGGTGCCTCATTTTATTCTCAAAGGGTCCTGATTTGAGTAGTAGATTAAAGGCAAATTTAAAAAAAAAAAACCCAAACCAGAAACTTCCTGCAGGTTCTGGAATGCTGGTAAAGACTTGTTCATTCCTATCAGAGCCAGGCTATGACACCGGGGCCAGGAAAGTCACCTTTCACAAGCGTTGAGGAGGCAGTTGAGAGAAATATTCTTTATGACTTCACAGGAGCTAGTCTATGAATGCTGAGTCACTGGAGGCATTTCCCAAAAGTGAGTTAAGAAACACCTGCCCACTGACTCAGGGGGTGTGGGGCTCTGGAACCAACTACCCATCCAGCTTTGACTCTCACTGGGAAAGTGGCTTTGGGGTGCTGCTGTTTTTATTTGCTGTTACCATTGGCCGTCATTCTCCAGGCCTCAGGAGCACTGCCCTGGTAGGGAGGATTTTCAGCAAGTGTTTCTGTTGAATGGTCTCAGGTGTCCTCTAAGTTGAGGTTAAAAATGGGAGAAAACTGGTCCAGGACCGACTCCCCAATGAGCTCATGTCTGGTGTTTGCCTTTCCCTGGAAAAACAGGTTTAGAAGATCCTGGAAATGAGTTTGTCAAGATCATCCTGACGACTTCAGAAGAATGTATCAGCACCTTGGCTGACCCTGCCAGTCCCCTGATATTTGGAAGAGAGAATGGGGACTTTCTTTTTCTCTTTTGGATGGTCTTCTTCAATGTTAGGACCCAGTTCAGAAAATTTCCTAGACTACCACATCTAATTTTTTTTAAGTTACTAATGTGACAATTTCAAATTAAATTAAAAGATTATTTATTTGTATCTGTGTGAGTGTATGTATGTGTGTGTATGTGGGACTCCTCTCAATCCTGGGGCTTGTGTTTATTGACTAAGCCAGAAACCAGCAAGCCCCAAGTGATCCTGTTGTCTCTGCCCCCTTCTGAGCTGAGGTCACAGGCACTTGCCCACTGCCTGGATTGTTACATAGGCACTGGAATTCGAACTCTGATCATCATGAGTGTACAGCAAGAACTCTTCATCTCTGGGCCATTTCTCCAGCCCTTTGTGGTAATTTGCCTAAAATGACAGTGGCCTTAAAACAGTTCTTACACGTTTCAGGCACCTTCCAAGTACTTTAAAAACAACAACAGCAGCAAAACCATTCCACTCACCCCCAACCCACCAAGGACATAAGATTGCCCATATCCTCTCTATACATCGGTGGCCTCAGCATGCCATCATCCCTTCCCACCTGCCTTACAAGTTCCTCAAAAATTGGAAACAAGTTTTTTTTTTTTTTTTTTTTTTCATGTCTCAGTTTCTCTCAAATACCTAGGAATTCAAAAGGAGCAAGCTATCGATGATGCTGGCTGATTTGCTATTTATCTGCTCCAAAATGGTAGCCATTTAAACCTTAAGAGATAGAAATGTGATGCAGACCCCTTTTAAGTCCTGGAAACATCACCTAGTCCAACAGGAAGAGGAAAAATGATAGGCATATTGGAGTTGTCATCCTGCAAGTCAGTCCATGGGCTTTTGAGACGTAGGGAGCTTTGCTCAGCATGTGTTTAAAAGGAGGGGAAGACAATGTTTGACATGCTAGGCATATTGTGACTGCTGGAATCTTCTTTGGCTGATTCCTGGCATCGCTAAAGTTTCCTGATTTTCATATATATATATATATATATATATATGAAAATGTTATATATATGTATATGTATTTGAATGTGATATGAAAATAAGCCACACATACTGAATAAGTATAAAATGGGCATGCAAAAAATAGGAGTTCTTTATCATGAATTCATCTGATTTTATCATAAAGAATATTTCCTTTGCCTGGCATACTAATGTAGGCCTATAATCCCAGATTTTGGGGGTCTGAGACAGGAGGATAGAAAGTTTGAGGCTAGCTTGTACTACAGAATGAGTTCGGGGGGGGGGGGGGGGCTGTCAGGGAAATTTAATGAAATGCTATCTCAATAAATAAGTAATAAACAAACAAACAAATAAACAAAATGAGGCCAAGGAGGTAGCTCAGTGGGTACCAGAATCCAGGAGAGAATAATCTCCCCAAAGTTTTCTCCAGTCTCCACATGTGCTCTGTGGGCACACATATGCCAGTGTACAACACACACACACACACACACACACACACACACACACACAAATATTTCCTTTTAGTTGGTAGTTTATGCCTATAATCCCAGCATTCATAGGGACTGCCTTGCATTCAAGGATAGCCTGGGCTATCCTTGTGTAAGATCCGGTTGAGAGTGAGAGCAAAAACAAAAGAGATCTCCATTTTAAAATTCTTTGATACTTGCTGTGAAGAGTGGGCTAAAGATTGAGTGTGTGTGTGTGTTTTAGTCTTGAATACCTAAATTGTCCAGTGTGTGTGTGTGTGTGTGTGTGTGTGTGTGTGTGTGTGTGTGTGTACATCCATACACACACATACATACATACATACATACATACATATATATATATATGCATATACATAGGTAGAAATAACACACACATATATATTGCTTTTGAAACAGGGTCTTAACATGTAGCTCAGGCTGGCCTTGAACTCACAGAGATTTCTCTGCCTCTGCCTCTGCCTCTGCCTCTGCCTCTAGAGGCCTCTCAAATATTTGGATTAAAGACATGTGCCACCAGGCCCAGTAAATTGTCAGACAGTATATGTGAAGAGGCCATTCAAAGTAGAATCATAGAAATTACACACGGAAAATTTGAATTTCTTCAACGTTCTCTCTCCTTTCCCAGTACAGGTTGTCTCCTTACAAAATACTCTCATTATTACTACTTCTCTGGGAAGATTAGTTTATAAAACAGGGTGCTTTGCTATGGGTGTAGAGGTGTGTGTGTGTGTGCGTGTGTGCATGCGCTTGCGGGCGCGTTTACCAAATCCCTTAAGGAGAAAGGTGACATAAAGTCTCAAGCCCTTCACAGCCCCACAGGGCAATTCCAAAGAAGTAGCAGCAACAATCACTCTTACATTTCAGATTCAAGTGAATGATTCTCTTTTCCAAAGAATTGAGGGGGATTCTGATTTTTCCTGAAGAGTAAGGTGTGTGTGTGTGTGTGTGTGTGTGTGTGTCTGCATGAAGACTTCCTGTACTCCCTGACCTCTGTTCCTGCTCACTTTTTAGCTCTAGGCTTATTACCTCTCCCATCTTTTCCTGTTGTGGAGCGGAAGGCAGCTGTCCAAACATAGACACAGCGCATAGGGTGCTGGGGCCAGGTGTGCTCTCACTCACCTATAATCCTGGTCCTCTCCTCGGGATGCTGAGCAGGAAGACTGTGAATTCAAGTCTGGTCTGGACTACATAAAGAGACTCTGTCTCGAGACAAAGAGCAGAAGAGACCACTAGGCACAACCCTCAAAAGAACAATTTGAGAAGCGGGCTCCATCTGCGCTTGAAAGGCATAAGTTGTTTAATTGATTGCATGTTTGCAACTCTGTGATTGTGGGCATTTCTTTTTAAGTTTTCTTTATTAAAATAAAATCGTTTATTGTAATTGTGTGTGTGAGAGCGCGCATGCTTGTGTGTGTGTAGAGGGGTGCATATGTGTGTGCATTCATAATTAGAGACGACAACTTTGTGGAGTCTGTTCTCTCCGTCCATCTTTCCGTGGGGTCTGGGAGGGAACTCAAGGTAGTCAGGCTTGCAGAGCACACCCCTTTATCTTCACCAGAGAGTCATCCTACCAGCCCCTCTTACCAGATTGGGGACATTTCTCAGACACATTTTCTAATCACAAAACTAGATTAGAAAAGTTTCCTAAATATATTTCAAAGTACTTATGAAAAATATCAGCCCTCCTTTAGGGGCACGGCTGAGGCCAGCAGCCACTTACTGGAGAAAGATCAGGTGAAGGAGCTGGTCCGTGTGGCCTTGGGTAATCTAGACTTTGTTCTCAGTGCCTTAGCCTGTGCTCCTGCGTCCATGCTGGCCTCACACTCCACCACACACTGGACCTTTCCAGTCTGATGTAGCCCAGGCCCCCATTCTTCCATGCTGAGTACTAAGGCTTGGCCGCATCAGGAGCTTCTTTGGCTAATTCAGTCACAAATCTGTGCCATTTAGAAGGAAGCTAATAAGAGCTATCACACACAGAAGATGCATTTTCTTTGTTTTGTTTTGTTGGTCTTCCGTTTGTTTTGAGACAGGCTCTCACTTTGTAGCCTAGTTTGGCCTCAAATTCACAACCTGCCTGCTTCAGCCTCCCGGAGCAAGCACTATAAATAATTACAGGTGTGTGCTACCATGCCTAGCTTGGATGACATAGTTTAGACCTGTCAGATCATAGCAAAAATAATAATAATTAAAAAAAAAAACAGAGTGACTTGGAGCTTATGTATTTTAGTTTATTATAGTTTCAAAATTATTTAAAATTTTAAGAATTCTCTACAGGCAATGAAGTTCCTGTACTGAAGCAAACAGCTTTAATTGCTGAATCCCTGGTACACCAGGTGGAAGATACTAACTTTGCTCTGAACACAATTTTACATTAAATATATAAAAATATATTTAAAACTGAGGCCATCCTGTCTTGTTTAACATTCATAATTGGTGTGCATTCAATATTATGTAATCTTTGAATGCCTAGGTGTGAGTGGGGAGGATGGGCGAGAGACACCCGAAGAAGGGGATTGTGGGCAGACAAGGAGTAACAACCCCGGGGTTGGGTTCCCCTCTGCAGTGGAGCAAGGGCATCAGCAGTTTAAAAGGGGAAGTGAGTATCAAAACCCAACAGCTGATGCTGAGTTCTTCCGGCAACTGTCCCGAGTCGGGGAGGGAAATGGAGAAGCCGGACTTCCCATCCAGTCGTTTATTTCTACCTTCGACCAGGGTTAGCAGTGCTCGGTTTCCCCATTCTGTCGCCCAGTTCCTGAGAAGACCCTCACCCCTTCCACTCTGCCTTCTGTGGCTCTCTGCTTTGGTCAGCCTGCTCCGTAGTGAAGATACGCAAACGCCGAAAGGCTGCCGAGCCTCTTCAAGTCACCCAGAACCTTTGCACTCAACACAGGCGGAAGAAACCCACACAGTGCACTGCAGTCTTCCTGAGTTTTTTCTCTTGGGTTCATTTTATTCTGCTGATTTAAAACCGACGGGGAAAACCCCTTGCCAGCCTTTGCAAGCACTTTTTTTTTTTTTTTTACACTTCCTCTCCAGACAGAACAGAGCGAGGGTAACTAAGAAATCCAAATATTTTTGTTTTTTTTCGAGACAGGGTTTCTCCATGTAGCTTTGGTGCCTGTCCTGGAACTCCCTCTGTAGACCAGGCTGGCCTCGAACTCACAGAGATCTGCCTGGCTCTGCCTTCCAAGTGCTGGAATTAAAGACATGCTCCAACGCCAGGCAGTGGTGGCCCACGCCTTTAATCCCAGCACTCGGGAGGCAGAGCCAAGCGGATCTCTGTGAGTTCGAGGCCAGCCTGGGCTACCAAGTGAGCTCCAGGAAAGGTGCAAAGCTACACAGAGAAACCCTGTCTCGAAAAAAAAAGAATGCCATGCTGTCTTGTTGAAACTTTAGCCCACATCTCCTCTTCACCAATCCAAAATGGAATTACAACACATTAGGATGGCTACTATCAAAACCAAAAAGAAGTCCAGGAATTCCAAGAGCTGGAGAGGATGTGGAGAAAGTAAGATTCTGTGCATTGCTGTGGGAATGCCTGTTGACAATGGAATGATGGTCCTTCAAAAGTTAAAATGAGTCGGGTTGTGGTGGTGCACGCTTTTAACCCTAGCACTCAGGAGACAGAGGC